TTTTTTTTTTTTTTTAATCAAGTTATATTGTTACTTACAGTTTTAGACTTGTTTCAAAGAACAACATCTTGTACTGTTATTTTAAAAACAAATATTTGTATGCCTTCTGTATCATTATACCTCAACTAAATGCATGTGGAGATGTTGAGTTTGCTTCAAATCACTGGGAAAAATTTCTGTCTGCAGTGCTGGTCAGCTATTCCATTGGACAAAAAGGAAGACTAAGTACTTGCACATGGATTAAATTATTCAGTTCAAACCTATTTGAGCTAACTGTAAATGATAGTTGGCACTTATGTAGGGAATGTACACCATGGTGGAGGGTAAGGCTTCTTGAGATTAAAATCAAACATTCCTGATGTAAAATTGCATCTGATTTCTTCTAAGTTCTTCTTATTTTTTATATTTCATTTTCTCATGAATGTCTTGCATTAGGCAATGTCAAAAAGGAAGACAGTAGAAGAGATGAACTGTTGGACTGAGCTAGAATTTCTTACTAACTGGAATGTATTCAAAAAAGTAAATTACATTATAGACCATTGTTTATTTTTGAATACCAACTAATTCAGAATAAAACAAACTCCTATTGCTTGTAGAATAGCTACTGTCTCTGTTTGGAATTTATATTTTTTTGCTTGAGTGCATTCGTTCAGACAGCTGTTCAGAATATATATGTAGATACTGAGTTCTAAGTTTTATAAAGGGCTGCTTCTCTAACAGCTTCTAGGCAGTCTGTTCCAATGCCTCACCACACTTTGAATGAAAATTTTCTGCATAACATCCATTCTGAATTTCCCCTCTTTTAGTTTAAAACCATTCCCCCTTGTCATATCACTTTCATATCTTGCACAATGTTGGTCTCCCTCCTGATTATAAGCTTCCTTTAAATAATGGAGACTGCAATGATTTCTACCCTGAACTCTTCTCCAGATTGAACAAGCCCAGCTTTCACAGCCTGTCTTCACAGGGGAGGTGCTGTAGCCCTTTGATCATCTTTGTGGTTTTTCTTTGGATCCAATTCAACAGATCCACTTCCTTGTGCTGGGCGCCTCAGGCCTGGTTGCCATACTCCAGATATGGCCTCAATGGGACAGCGTAGAGGGGTCAGTTACTTCCCTTGCCCTGCTGGCCATCCCTTTTGTTGCAGCTCAGGATACTGTTGGCCTTCCAGGCTGTTGCAAATGCATGCTGCTGGCTCATATCCAACTTTTCATTCACCAGGACCACCAAGTCCTTTTCCTGCAGGGCTGTTCCCAACGAGTTCTTCTCTCAGTCTGTACACTTGTCTGGGATAGATGTAACACCTTGCACTTGGCCTTGCTGAACCTCATTGTGTTCACGTGGACTCACTTTGTGAGCCTGTACGAGTCCCTCTGGATGTCATCCCTTCCTTCTGTTATATCAACTGCACCGCTCAGGTTGGTGTTGTCTGCAAAGTTGCTGAAGGTGAGCTCGATTGCGCTGCCTACGTCACTGATAAATATGTTAAAGTATAATTGAGTGCAGTAGCAGTTCCATGGAATCTGATAGAAATATTTGTAATGTGAGTTTAATTTAAAGGCTTTGAAGAATTGGACTGTGAAAAAACAGGGGAAAAAAAAAGTCAGAAAGACATCTTTAAAGGGGTGTCATTTTTATGAAAAAAAGTAAAAATGCTCCCTGTCCTGAAGGTGAGAGATGAAGGAAATGGAACCAAAGCTTTAAAAACAGTTTCAGTGGTAGGCTCTCTTCTAAGCAATGTGACTGTAATGTACAGAGGACTAATTTTCTGTTGAAATTGTTCTACCATTTTCCTTTATTTTGATTGTTAGGTAAAAGACATTTGTAATCTGTAGCACAAGAGAGCAATGACTTTTGACTTCATATAGCCAAAAGTATGCTTAACTTACTTCCATTAAAGGAATAGTATGACAGAATCAGTGAATGTAAGAGAGATGTGACATGTTTCTGCAGTGTTCACTGTTATTTTTACAGGATATTATGCACTGCTTAAGAAATGGTGCAGAGTTTGTTTGTATAACTTCTAAGTGAAGATTTATCATTGAAAGCTCTTATTATCATCTTTGATAGTATACATTGTACTGTGGATTAGTGATATTTACATTTAAATTTTTTCTTACACTTGCTTATTCACAGTTTCCAAGATGTCTTTCACCTTGATTGCTCTGATGTTCATTTTCATAGTCTCCATTTTTTCCAATCTGATTCTACCATGTTAGAATTCACTTGGCAAAACTTGTGGAACTATAGTCTTGTTTTTATTATGTCTGATATATTCAAGGGCTCCTTTTTAAAGTACCAGAACTAAGATGTTGTAGGATTTGGTATGGTTCCAGCAATACTCTATGCATAAATCTTTTCATGTTTTACAGCTCAGCTTTTAGCAGATACTTGATATTCTTGGAGTATGCCCATGTTTCTGCTCCATCTGTATTAAGTAAAGGTAACAAATGTGCCAGGAATCCTTTTCTACTGTACAAAGGGATCTTCATAAAATTTTTGTTTTGCAGGCTTGTGCTAGTTTAATTAATGTTGGTAGGAAACATGGAAGAAGCCTTTTGTGTTCTGTGTTAAATTTCTTCTCTACAGAACATTTAATGTCTTCTTAGTTTATCTTGTAGTATCATAAAATATTCTTGAACAAAATTAGTATGCAATCTGTATTCTTACCAAAATAATCCTGCTTTTTTTCCTTAGCAGATTTAAAGTATCTCACATCCTCAGTCACACTTCTTTACTTTTCTACATTTTCTCAGGTCACTTTTTAAATTCAATATTGATCCTAAGTTTGTAGAGCTTGTCTTGATCAAAACTGCTGTATCTTAATAATACATTTCAAAATGTGAATTGTATGCACATGTGATGATTTTGGAACAAGAAAGGGTAAATTTATCTGGCATGTTTCACTTTATTCATTTATTTACCGTTAACCTCTCCTCTTTCCATCACTTCCTGTGCTACTTCAACTTCCTTTGATTCATCTTCCCACAAAGAAAATATATTTAAATCCTGGTTCAGAGTTTTCTCTTGCAATGTGATTTTAATTTTCTGCTTTCTTATTTACTTATTATGCCAACAATGTATCTTTGAGCTCTGTAACTAATTACATACTTTACCATAAATTTTTTTCTCCCCCCTTTTCACAGATGCATACACACACTCCTCTTCCATTTCTGTTATTTTGCTCAGTTATTTCAAAAACAGCATTTAAATATAGAACACTGTCCAGGTTTTCATTTAATCTTCATGATCTGGAAAAGAAATTTGCTTTATGGGAATGCGAGCCTGGCTATGATGCCATTGTATGCTTTATTGCATAGAGTTAAAAAACAAACGGCCAATAAGAAAAATATATCAGTAGTGCAGAAACTTCTACTCTTGTAATAATTGCCTTTTTATTTTTTAACAGTGTGATTTTAAGACAAATTATGAGTTTTCAGCAATCCTCTCTAACGAGCAACACATTGCTCATTTTTTAATGGATGTTGCAAACCTGTAGGGATTCCACTTTGTGTAGATAACTGTAACTCTTTGTTTCAGAAGTACTATTGAGACCCATAATCTAAATCGCAGTACTCCACTTGCACTTTCATGTGAATAATTTGTTTTTGTGGTCTGAAAGCCTATGATAGTTTTATCTTCATGGTTGGGTCACTCTGGTAAGGCATAGTCCTGGCATTCATACAGAGGCCTGTACTGGGTTTTATTATCCATTGTTGGGTTTTACAGAAGTAAGGTAATATCAAACACATGGGTAAGTCTGAAACCTACGTATTTTAGTTTGTGACATAGACAGATAGGCATCTCTAGGTACCTTCAGGCCAGAGTCTGAAACCGTATGAATATGAATTATGTAGAAA